TGTGACTTTAGAAGAAGTTTTACTCCAGAAGGCAACTGATGCCTGCAGGTAAGACACCTGACCTCACATGTAGTTCATGACTTTGGATGGAATGAGCACAGAGGGGAAAAAATAAATTAAAAAATAGATTTTCGGCCACCTAAAAATGTGTTGGAACAAAAACAACTTCTCACTGTGATCAGATTCTAGAGCAAAGCCAGAGCTCTCCTCAGAAGATCAGATTCTTTGTTGGTGGCCTAAAACAGCCTCTGTGAGGATAAAGCACAAGGACCTCACTTTCAAGCAATTAAAAGGCCTCCTGACCCCAAGCCACCCATAGCAGCTTGCTGTAACATTTCCCAAACCCAGGCCTGGCCCTACACAGTCCCACTGCATGGAGACAGGTGAAAATTGGTCTCCTTCCCCAGCAATCCTACTGTTCTCCCTCACTGGGCCCCAGAAAATGACATTATAGCCATGCTGCATTCAGACATCCACTACAGATGACCCCCAAGGGGTCTCAAGTGAAGAGGAAATAAATAGACAGAGGCACTTTGCTTTTCCCCATACAATCCAGGGCAGCCAGGACACAGCCAAGCTTTCCCTGAACCCTGAAATGGGAGAGGATCTCCCTGGCAGGACCCTCATCTCCTCATCTCAGGGATGGCTTATTGCATGGGCAGATTATTCTACTGCAAATTTTATCTTAGCTAAAACTGGAAAAAGTAATCAAGGCAAATGTAACAGCTCAGAAGGAATCAGAGTAGGATTAGACATTTATATGAATAAGAATAGCTTCTGCACTTTGACTTGCTGTGATAAAAATAATAAGAACCTCAGTTTTCACGCTCCAGGGCAGAAAAATGATCTCTGAACAAGGTGTTAGAAATAAATTTCTTCTCACAACAGTGGTCCCTAACTGCCCAGGCCACAGCAGAGGATCTAGGGATGTGTGGTAGCCACTGCTAGAGACACAGCTGGCTGGGAGCCCCTGGGCTTGCTCAGGAGCTGCTGCAGCCCCGAGCACGAGATGGGTTGCAGTTTTCAGAAGTAAATGAAGCAAGGCCATCACTCCCTTTTCTCTTTGCATTTCCTTGCTAAATCCCAGTCCACACCAAATGAAGACCGGTGAGTTTGTGCACTGGATTCCAGGGATCACCTCACTTTCTCTGGCATGTTTCTCTGCAGAGATGGATCACTGCCACCCCTCGCCTCCTCCTCCCCCCAGGCTGAGCCTTTAAGTGGTAATGGCCTTAGCTGATTAATAAACTGGCTTGAGACTGCTGATCTCTTTGGACCATTAAACCTTTCCCCAGCGACTCCTCATTAATCCCTCCAAAAGTCCTCCTAGATGAGGTTGTTGTTAGCACCATCAATCCTTTTTAAGGCCTCAATTTGCAGAGGAAAGGAGCAGGGAAGTGCGGGAAAGGGTGCATTTGTCAGGGGAGCCATCTGTTCCCCGGGTTACGGGCAGCTAAGGCAGAGCTCAGTGCCTGCTCCCAGGTGAGGGCTGTCCTGAGCAGCACACACCATCCACCACAGGGCAGGACAGCACTGCACCAGGCATCTGGGGGATTAAGGAAGGCCAGGAGAAAAAGCTGGCTTTTTTTTTTTTTCCCCTTAATTGCAGTGCCTTTGGCTGGGGCCAGAAGGTTCCAGCACATGTGGTCACCGATGAGCTCCTGCTGGTATCTGCAGAGATGCTTTCAAATAAACAGGTCTGGGACAGCAACCACCCACAGCACTGCTACCTATAGACCTGAGCAATCCTCCTCGTCTTAGCTCCTCTTTCTAATTATTAAAACAGCCACATCTTCAGCCAGAAGACTTGATTTGTCTTAATTCCTCTGGAAAGTGGAATTTCAACCACCCAGACCCTAGCCCCCTCTCACTTTCAGCCTCTTCCCTCATTGTCAGCACACTACCTCTGATTGTCTTTCCTTAGCTCTTCCAGGACTTTCTCACATCCTTAAATCTCATTACTTTGAGCCATGCTTAGGGGCTTGGAAGGAGGATGGTGGCAGTAGAGGTGCTGAACTGTCCCCACCACTGACGGTGGCAGCATGGAAATCACATTTGCAAAACCACAGCCCAAGGTTTCTGCATTTTAACCTAAAACCTCACAGCTATTTTTTCCCCTCCCCTGTGTCTGAAAAGTTGCAACTTTTGAACTCTGGGTTTTATGTCCATGTGAGCTTTTCAAATGAATGTTTTAAGATCAGGATTTATAGATATGAGGTCATAAAAGCCTGTCAGCTGGAACCCAGCTACAATTGTGGCTGCACACAGAGCAAACTGTGCCACTGCATATTGCACTGCTGTTAACAACCCACTGGAGTGGCCACAGAAGGGAGGGGAAGGAGGGAGGGATGATGCTGGTACAAAAACTGTGAACAGCAGTTTCCTTCTGGAGCCACTTGTGGGAGGGATGGCTGCCCAGTGTTCAGGCAACATCAGAGAAAACAGCTTCAAAGTTGAAACTGGTACCTTGATTTAAGCATGATGCCATTGCTCCCAAAGTGTTGGAACCCAGGGCACAGGGAATGTTCCTCGCCTGTCCTGAGAAGTCCTGACCCCCAGGAGAACACTGCTTTTAACCTTCATCCATGGAGAAAGATGCCAAGACTTTGGGATGGATTGTAATCTACGAGTGTGTGAAATAGACAGTGGCACAGTTTATCACAGGGTGAACAACTCAGTTTTGGGGTTTTGGTATGGAGGTGGATAGAAGACAAGATGGAGGATTTTGGGCACTGTCTGACTTCCTTCTTGTTCTTCATCTGCTCCATTTTCTGCAGTGTTGGGGGCACAGGGTGACTGGTTAGAAAGAGCCCCAATGCAGATGCTGCATGAACAGACAATTAGTTATTGGTAGAAAGGTAGAAATAAAATACATTCTAAGAGTTAATTGGACAAAATAGTTTTAAAAAACCTTGAACCTGTGTGTCTTGTGACTTTTTTGGCGCCTTCCTCTTTGTGTGCTAAGTCTGGTATGTAGACAGCGTGCTGAATTGCTGATAAGAGAAGAAATAAACAACAACCTGAAGACCAAAAAACCAAAAGTTCGGTTTGTCTCTCAGTCCTGGCACAGAACTTTTTAGGGGTGTCCCCATCAGGGGATCCTGGGGGGGTTCACACCAAAGCATGTCCAAGAGGGGCAATGAGAGGGAAAACCCCTGGCACGGAACAGCCTGGAAAAGGATTTCCCCGTGCTTGGCCAAAGAGCTGATCAGTGCTCTGCTCCTGATTAGACTTCCCACGTCTCTGTGCTTCATTTGCCAGCTATGATTTGGAAATGACCATATCAGTTCTGTGATGTTGGAGTTCTGGGTGTTGAGAATTTTAGACTTTTTATGCTAACAAACTCTTAACTCCCAAGAAAACACTACATTTAGCCTAAAACCATAGAGAAAACTTCCAAAGTTAATTAATAACACTAAGATTACAGTGTGTAGTTAATTAAAAGTGTGTAATATCACAAAGTAGAAAACTTAAAGTTTTGGAATATAATAATATATATAAAACTAAAATAAAAATTTTAAAGCAGTAACTAATCTTTCCTCTTCACCTTCTTCTTCATAAATTTAAGCAATTTTTTGTAATTAAACAAAAAAGTCCACATTACAAACTTTGAGTAATTAATTATTAAATTTAAAATAAAAAGAATTTAAGTATCATTTCTTAATTAAATTATCTGACCTTAAAAAACCTTATTAAAAAAATAGTAAACCATTTTATAACTTATTAGTAAAATACTATAAAACTCACAACTAAAAAAAAAAAAAAAAAAAAAAAAAAAACACCCAAAAAAAAAAAAAAAAAAACCAAAAACTAAAAACAGTGTGAGCTTCTTCTGCCACAGAACACGTTACCATTAACAAGCAAAACCTCTCCACATCCTCATCAGAGGGCTGGATCTGTTCCTTCACAGCCAGCACAGCCCATGTCCTGCATGAATGAATCACCAGGTGAATGTGAACAGGAGTTTTCAGAGGCCATGGTGGCTTTGGCAATGGTTTGGTTGGTTCTCAGCTCACCATGTATAGCCAGCAACAGCTGGACTCCACAGGGGGAAAAGGAAACAACCACACACACATGCAAAAATCATCAGTCAGGCTCCTTTTAAATGATTAATGCAGTGCACGAAGAAAGGCTTTTCAGCTCTCAAATCTTCACATGGTTATATAAACCTTAACTCCTTGCAGCTACCGAGGACCTGTGTTTGTTTGTGGGCATTAACAGCTGCTGTGGTGCTATAAATAGAGCAGAGAGTGAGGATCTCATGGGGAAACAGAAGAAACCCCAAATTGCTCAAGTCATTTAAACATTCAGGGAGATAAAACACTGCAGAGAGGTTCTGGAGTGAGCAGTGCTCAAGGGAGGGAGGGGTTACAGCCACCACAAAAGTCGTTTCTGCTCTCCTGGGTCCATACTATTAATTATGGTTATTAATTATTTATGATGTTACATATAAATAAGTAATAATTAGTGAAATAATCACCTCAGACACTGAAATCATAGAATCACAGAATTATTTGGGTTGGGAGGGACCTTAAAGATGATCTAGTCCAACCTCTCTGCCATGGGCAGGGACACTTTTCACCAGACCAGGTTGCTCCAAGCCCCATCCAGCCTGGCCTTGAATGCTTCCAGGGATGGGGCAGCCACAGCTTCTCTGGGCACCCTGTGCCAGGGCTTCTCCACCCTTACAGGGAACAATTTCTTCCTCAAATCTAATCTAAACCTGCCCTCTGTCAGTTTAAAGCCATTACCCTTTGTCCCATCACTAAAAATCCTTGTCCAAATTCCCTCTCCAGCTCTTTTGGAGCCCCTTTAGTCTCCCTTGAGCCCTCCCTTCTCCAGGCTGACCAGTGTGGTCCTACTCCCTGTTCCCCAGCCCTCTCTCTGTCCAAGGAGAACCTCCATGTGACCCCAAACTCATCCCTTGAGGACGGCTTCCCCCAAATCCACTGCCCATTTCTGTGCTGGTGACCCCCATGGGCTGTCCCAGGAGTGCTCACATTTGCAGCAGGATGCTGTGATTTCTCCCTCTCTTCTCCCTGGCTGTGGACACCACGGCCCAAGAGACATCTGAGAATGGAGGACATTGCACTGATCTGAGAGGTTTTGTTTCATCTTAGGGCTTCACAATCAATTACCTTCCTCAGTGAGGAGTGACTGCACAGAGGCCACTTCCCATCCCACAGCCTCCCACCTCCATCCACCCACCAGGTAAATCAGGAGGACAGGAATGCTCCAACCCCCCTCCAGCCCCTCACCTCTCCATCCCATCAACTGGCACCTCATGCACGAGGATTCAACTCCACCAAAATTTAACATATTTTGCAATGCCCACACCCTGAAGAAACACCAGCCAACTCACACCATCAAAGAAACAACACTGAAACCCAAGAGTCAGCTCTTCTTCTCCACATCCAGCCTCTCTCCCCCCACCAGGCAGGTCCCAGCTGCTGCTCACAACACCCAGGCCCTGGGGGTGACCCAGCAGGTGACACTGCCCAGCCTCCTGGGGACTTGCGTAATGGGGAAGTGTCAGAGATTAGAGACAAGAGAGCAACGGCTGCAATATAAAAGCAAACTGAATAATTAAAGAGAGGAGCTGTTCCTCGCAGAGAACAAAATGAAAGAGTTGTGTGATTTGAGCAGAAGTGACCTTTACACTTCATTACAAGGAGGTGGCGTCCTTATAGGGTTATTAATATTTCCAGCTGAATTAGCTTGGGTTAAAAATGGCTCAAAGGAATGAAGAAGGGAGGGAGAGTGAACAAAAATATATCATTCTGTCTTTTTCTCCTCCTCTTTGCTTTTTACTTTTCTCTTTTTTTAATTATTTTTAATTTGTTGACTTGAAAGCAGAAGGGGCTGAGTGGCCATCAGAAACGAGGCTTCATTAGAAACAGGGAAAGCTGCAGGGTGAGTTGGCTGAGGGATCTTCCCTCCACCCTGGCTGTGCTTCAGAAGAAGCCTGTGGTGCCTCTGTGCCTGTTTCCACATTCACACCCAGGGCACAGAGGGGGTTGTCACTCACCGAGCTGCAGAGACGTCACAGAACTGACATTCAGGTGGCTTTGAGCCAGCAGTGGAGCTCTGACATGGAGTCAGTAGGATCTTCTAGAGCAGACATGCTCCTGTGGTTACTGCTCACCACCCTGTGGGCCAAATGATTCCCCCTGCCACAAAACATCAGTGTGGAAATGGACAACGCTGCTCAGCACACGTGAACCCAGCCTGACACAAGGGACAGACAAACACCCTCCCTCCCAAACAGAGGCAGAGCCACGGCCTCCATCAAGGCTATTTTAGCAGAGGGCAGACCACAGAAATCCTGCAGAAAATAGAGCTGCTTCAGTTCTGTAGTTTCATCCAGAAGTTCATACACAAAGGAAAGGACCTTCACCTCAGCATGTCCCAGCAGGTGCAGCCCCACACAGCCCCACAAAACCATGACTGACAATAAAGTCCCAAAGCACTGGGTGAATTAAACGAGTGAAGTTAAGATCAGCAACCTGAACCTAAATCCAAGCTGCGATTTTGCTGCTCAGAGCCTCGAGGTGAACACAGTTGTGCTTTTTGCTCTGATCACTCAGTCTCATTTTAGTCCCATCACTGAGATGCAAAAGTGTTGTTACCTTGATAACGCAGCCAGACACCTGCTTGTTTCTCCACAAGCCTGGCCTGAACAATTTCATTTACCGCCTCTCTCTGCCCAGCAATAACAGGCATCAGGAAAACCCACCAGAGCAAACAGAAGGGGAGAGAAACATGAAAGCAGGTGCACATCAGTAAGGAGAGAGGGTGCTGGAGCCTGCAATCACTCCCGGGGCTGCATTGTTCCCACAGGGCTCCTTCCACAGCACCCTCCCCACCCTGCCAGCAGGTCACCTTCCCCTGCTCCGCTTGTGGAGGGGGCTCTGCAAATGTAATGCGAAACCACAAATCAAATAAAGACTCGAGGCTTTTGAAGTGATCATGAAATGGACACGGTGGCAGCTGCTTCTCCTCCAGTGGCTGCTGAATCACAGCCCCTCACTTATTTATAGGCCTCCCCAGGGTGCTCGCAGGCGAGTCGATGACAAATGCCAAAGAACATCCACCCTCACCCCCACAAGGTGTTGTTATCCTGGCTGCAAAGGAGATGCAGAGCGAGGAAACAGCACCCTGGCAGCTGTGCCAGACGGGTGGAGGCAGGCAGAGCACCCCAGACACCTCACCCACCAGCCAGTGCCTCCAGCACCGTCACCTGAGAGCTGCTCCCAGCAAAGGCTCTCACCCTCCAGGGTGTAGCCCATGTCTATTTCTAATTCCCACAGTTTTTAGGGGGAGTTACTAATTCCCATTGGGTTTTGATGCCATCTTCACTTTGACTTTACACTGTGACCACTGTAAAGAGCACAGTGGTGCTCAGAGCAGTTTTATCCAGGCTCTGAAGCGATTCCAGGGACAGAAGCCAGGATGCTGATGCTCCAGAGGGAGAAGCAGAAGTAGATGCTGAGACCCAAAGTTTTCCCCTTATTGCTGGAGGCTATTGCACATGGGCCAGGCATTGAACAGCTCCAAGGGCAAGAGAGGGAAAAATTCAGACTTAATATGGCCTTGGTGCTAGGAAAAGGCATGAATGTGAGGTGAGAGGAAGGAAAAGACTGAAAAGCCCCCAGGCTGGGTCAGGGAGGTAGGAATACCTCTCAGGGAAAGCAAAGGTGAACAGTACTACCTTGTTCTAGCCTTAAGAGCATCCCTAGCAGGTGATCTCCACCAGGGCTCTGCTCCAGAGGGAAGAAATCATTTCCTTTGCCATAGTGCCAGGGAGCTCTCTCTGGGTGCATCCACAAACTCTATACAGCTGACAAAAGTAGGAGTCAGGCAGCAGGATCTCCATTATCAGAGATGATTCACAGGCCACAGAGATCACAGCTTGCCTTGTAGATGTCACTGGGACCTGGCAGTCCAGGAAAAGCATCTTATTTATAAACTGGGACGAATTATGACTGCTGAGGTATAGCCCACACGGGAGCTGCTGCCTGCTTTCTGGAATAGAATGACTCTTTAAATGATCCATGAGGCTGCAGGGCCCCTCCCCAGGGCTCTGTAGCTGGGAAAGGGCCCCTGGGCAGGTGTGCAGAGCCCTGTCTCTCACAGCCAGACCAGGGCTTTCACAGCCTTCCTGGTGTTAGTTGCACTGGGCTGCTGTAGCTGGTTTTTAATTCAAGTCATCATTCCTAGATTAAATCTGAAGTGGCTCTTTGGACTAGACTTGTTTTCTGTGAAAACTGTCACATAGGCTGAAAAAGTAATGGGATTTACAAGGAACAGCCAGGAACTTGCTCTGGTGCAATTCCAGGTGGCCCCAGGAAAGCCAGTGAGCTACTCTGCCAGGGAAGCTGGGATTGCTGTGGAGTTTCTGGGATGAAATCTCTGAGGTCTGATTTAGGGCTGAGCTCACAGTGAGGCCAACAGGACCACTGATAAAGTCTCTGCCTTGATTCTTCAGTTTCCTGATGTTTTTAAGTACACAGTTCCAGGTCTAGGTGGAATTAGCTGATGGCATAAAACGTTTTTGAAGCATGAGCTGGAGTCAGACAGACATAAAGGTCATCTAGGTTTTGTTTTCTTTGTTTCAACTTTCTTTAGCCAAACCCATGACTGATCTGAAAGGACTTGAGGCAGCAGCAGTCCCACACACCTGGCAGAGATCCACTGGGAAATGCAACTGTGGAGCAGTGGGGAAAGAGGAAAGAGTGAGGAAGAGAAGAGGTGCAGAAGAGTCCTTGCTAATCTCAACAAGCAAGTCCCACTTTAACTCCACTAACACAGAAAGCAGTAACAGCAGTAGCTCATCATCTGAATACTGTGACATGAAATTTATCTTTTTTTCATTGCTTTCACAGCAATTTTGCACTGTGTTTGATAGCTGATGTGCATATCCAAATTCATGCAGCCCCACCACCCCTCTCCCTCTGCCTACTCACGCTCACCCACGCTCTTCTGCGTGTGACTCAGGATGAAAAGGGATTTAGAAAGATGCAGGGAACGTTTACAAGCCACCCACCCTTTCACCCCCAGCCTGGATGGCCACATTAGCACGTCCAGGTTGCATTTGAAGGCAAACCCCTGGGACAAGCTTTTCTTCTGTCCCCTGCACAATCAGGCACAGAGCAAAGCTGCACAGCTCTGCCTCGGTGTTTACTGCTGGCTGGGCTCGCTTTAAAACACGGCAAAATTCCCAACTTCTTGCTCATTGCCTTGTCCATGTTTGGGTCCAGGAGTGGTCACTGCAGCAGACCCCAGAGATCTCCCCTCACCATAAGGAGGTCACTTGGTCACCCTGCAGTGTAGGAGGGTGGGAGACATTTGCACAACAGCCACAGCCTGCCCCGTTCAGGAGCACCAGCAAAAACGGGATTGTGTGGAAGTCTGGGGCTTTTTCTGGGCTGGTTGGGCTCGGTGTGGAGGCTTTGCCTGAGAATTCTCCAGTAAAATCTCTGCAGCGTGAGGGCACTGGTGCAGGTGCCACCAGCACAAAACCAGCAGCAAAAAAATCCCCCAGCAGCATCTGCCAGGGACTGACAGGGGACAAACTAAGCAGATCTGGGTGACAAACCAAAGCCAGTCTCCCCCCCTTAACAGTGGTGCTGAGAAGCCATTTAGGGGAGTGTGTCACCACTAACATCATCCTGTTTCCATGGAGACCAGATTAACAGAACTGTTGAGAGAAACTGCACTCCTAATCTCTCCCTGAGAAAAGAGCTTGCTGATACAAGAGACTTTTACAGATCTTTAATCCAAATTCAGGGTTTTCCTTTCCATGTTCCCCCTAATCCTTCTGGAGGTTACCAGCCCCCTTCAGCCCTGAGCCCAGCACAATAGCATCAAACAGTGCAGGCACCCACAGCCTCTGCAGTCCCTTGCTAATATAAAATTTGCTATCTCTCTCTCCAAAATTTGGCTGCCTTAAAAATAGCAATTTTACCAGGCCATCATGTGCAAAGGTCCTGAAAAAATGATGTCTTCATTGGTGCACTCAGCCTATTTTCAGAAGATGGAATTAGACCCTGAGGACAGGGATGGAGGCACCTTCTTCCATCAACAAAAAGATGCAGGTCCTGCTTTCTACATTGCATGAGACACTTTCCATTGACTTTTTTCTCCTGAGCTTTTGTCTGTCCTGTGTAGCATCCCAGATAAGATCAAGTCCCACAAGAACAGTGAATAATTTGCCCACTGGAATGGTTCACTGCAATTGCACAGCCTAACCTAAGGATTCAGAGAATCACAGAATGGTTTGTGTTGGAAGGAACCTTAAAGATCATTTGGTCCAACTTCCCTACCATGGGCAGGGACACTTTCCACTATCCCAGGTTGCTCCAAGCCCCATCCAACCTGGCCTTGGACACTTCCAGGGATCCAGGGGCAGCCACATCTTTTTTTGGGTAACCTGTGCCAGGGCCTCCTCACCCTCACAGGGAAGAAATTCTTCACAATATTTGATCTAAATCTACCCTCCTTCAGCTTAAAGTTATTCCTTGTCAGAAATATCTCTCC